TGGGCTCCAGCTTTAGGAAAAAGCTGGTTTTTAGTTAACAACTCTCTATTTCTAGGGCTCTCTTCCATCAAAGCTATGACTTGGGAACACTTCTATTTAAAGGACAGCAGAAGTTCCTAGAGTCATTAGGTCCTGAGTTAGAACTCACCTGAATGTTGAAACTTGACAGTCAGAAAAATAGCTCTTGATGCTGCTATTTCGGAAGAGTTGGTTGAGCTGAAAGACAGGGTGATGTTTCTTAGGTCAGAATCCTGGTCCCGGTAGCATCAGAGAATTTTCAGCCACTGAGCACACTTCTCTATCTATTTTGTTTCTTGTCATGACACCCACTTGCCCAGGTATGTATATCAAACGACATGCTCTTCTAGGGTATGACTTAGCTGTGTGACCTTGGGTCAGCTACTGAACCTCTCTGTGCTTGCGTCTTAAATGGGAATAAGAACCTGTCTTTGTGGATTGTTATAAAAAGTCACCCTGTGGCTACCCAGAATGCATAAGTCGATTTCTGCATGCAATAGAGTGGACACACCACCCCCCTCTCACCGCGTCCTCAATATTCCTTTTGTTCCTCTGGTAATTGGTGGTGCTTGGCTGGGATATGTCCTGGGAATATGGTAGGTTGGTGATGGTGAAATTCAGGTAGAAGTGCTGGGTGCTGGAACTGCTTGTTGGTTTTGTTGGTTGATAAACTGATGGCTCCATTTCTAGAATTTAAAAAAAAGGATGTAAAAATTCATTCTCAAGGCAGGGTTTTAAGAAAGAGATTATTCCAGCTAGCTTAACTTATTTCTGTCATTGTGAGCTGAGCTACGGTTTTTTTTTTTTTCCTGGAGGGGAGGTCGTTTGTTTTGTTTTGTTTTTTTGAGACAGTTTAACTCTCTTTGCCCAGGCTGGAGTGCAATGGCGTGATCTTGGCTCAGCGCAACCTCCACCTCCTGGGTTCAAGCCATTCTCCTGCCTCAGCCTCCTGAGTAGCTGGGATTACAGGCATGCACCACCACGCCTGGCTAATTTATTTTTTTTTTGTATTTTTAGTAGAGACATGGTTTCTCCATGTTGGTCAGGCTGGTCTCAAACTCCCGACCTCAGGTGATCCACCCGCATTGGCCTCCCAAAGTGCTGGGATTACAGGTGTGAGCCACCGTGCCCGGCTGAGCCAGGATTTTAAAGGTGGGATAGAGGGTTTTAGGTAACAGCTCTATATTGGATGGAGGATCTTCCTCCATCCATCTGTCAAACTTGCATCCATCCACCCATCTACCTGTCCAACTCTCTTTCTACCAAGCATTGTAAGAATTGCCTACAACGTGGGATGAAAGACTGGGTTTCTCTGGGGGTGTAGTCAGCAAGCGTAGGTGCTGAGCAACCCAGAGTCTTCTAACTGATGATCTTTGTTCGTAAAGGGTCTTCCTGACTCTGCTCTTCTCTCCCTCCACCCTCCATTCTGCACACAGCACCCAGAGGATAAGCAGAATTCATGTCACTTTCTTTCTAAAGCAGAGCTCATGAGTGTGTCATGTTCCTCCCCAAGCCATTCCAGTACCCAACAAAGTCTCTGCCCACATCTTTGGCTTCGGCTGTCACCTCTCCAATATCAAAGTGGATGCTGCAGCTACACCAATCTTCTGAAACTTCCCCCAAAATGCCATATTCTTTTTATCTTCTAGGTTATA